TGAAAATGAAGTTGATGAAGATGATGATGCTGATGAAGAGGTGGAAAATGTGAATAACGATGACGATGATGGCAAGAATTATGATGAGGAGGAGGAAGATGACGGTGATGGTCGTTTGCCAGTTTAGGGAATAGGAGAGGAAACAAAGAGGAAAGTAGTGATAGACAAAACGGTTCGTCCACGATTTGCTGAATGGAGTGGGCGAGCGCACATTGCCTATTACACATGACACATTGCACACTGTTGGTATGAGCCCATTAGTGTGTCACTTTTTAGCCTCGCCTGAGAGCCGAGGTCAGTGAACCAGCAACCGAGGTGATATCGGTTGTCACGACTCAGGGTCACCGGAATAACTGGCGTCCAACGAGGAGTAGTTGGGCTGACGGGCGAGTGGGAAAGGAGGGAGCAACGTGACGACTGCGGGCAGAGCAACAGCGGAATGCAGGAGGCAAGGATTGGGGTGGAGATGAGGGGAAAGAGAGAGGGTCAGGAGAGAGGTGAGAGAGCAGGAGCAAGAGTGCTGGTCCATTCGGTTGTCATTCGGTTTCTTTCGTCACTATCATTGCATTGTTTCCCGTGCTTAATCAACTAGAAGGCAGCCATCGAGAGGGAAACAAAGTGTCAAGCCTTACATGCAGGCACGAGCGTGGTAACGACGAGACGAGCGAGTTTCAAGGCTCAACGGGAAATTCGAGCAATTTCCCTTCTCCTCCTCACCTCGTGACGCAGAGCGAAGCGGTGAATTGAGAAAATATGTGCAAGTATGCAAGGAGAAAGTGGCGGTTTTCGCGTAAATTGGGCAACACTAACAGACTCACGGGAATGACATTTCAGAGGACTCGGTGCCTCGGGGTTGTCTTGTAAAGATATCATAAATTAATGAACTGAAAGTTAGCATAAAAGGAGAAAGAATATTGAACAAAAATCGCATGTTGGGTTGAATGCCGCCATGTTTTGTATGAGGATACATCTTTCCGTTCAAGAAACGGGCTTGCCGGCTCATTTGAAAAATGCTCATCTTCCAAACGGTTTAAGCGAAAAGTGCAAAACAAACGCAGTTCTGAGTAAGCATACTAAGTTAAGTAATGTATATGCAATAAATGGATGGCTTACAACTAATAAGTAGTGTTTGGCCGATAAAACTTTACATTAATTCATTAATTCATT